GAGTCACTTTAATCTGGTAATTATTGTTGATGGTATTAGAAGGTAACGTTCCATTTTATATATGTTCATATAGTATTTATTGATATTATTATTATTAAAATATACCTTGCAAGCTAAGACATATTCAGTTAGCATGTGAAAAGTACCAAAACTGGGGTCCTGGTCCTACCTTAAAGGTAGCATGCATCACAACTTATTATTCCTTAAATTCTTCTTTATTATACAATGAAAGCCTTGAATTAAATCCTAATTTCCTTCATTGTCAAGGTGTAATTTCCCTTTATTAAATTTTTATGATTTTTTTAAAAAAATAATAAAAATGTCACTTGGGTTTGAAGGATAATAATGGAGCCAACATTGAAGTCTTTCATTTTGGCATGATTTTAAATATATTACTTGGACTTGGAAAAGGACTGTATCAGTAATTATAAGCCGCTAACTGATGTGCATTTTAAGCAACCTGTACCTTTCATCATCAATCCAAGGACCAGATCCCTCTCTTACCAAATTAATCTGACCCTCATGTATTAAGTAAGATCCCGAGTAAGAAAACAAATGGGGAAAAAAAAAGTTCTAATAAATTCAGTTTACAATACATTAAACTAACAGTAAACATATTACATCTTCTACTATCATTACAAGGGTGAAAAGCAAGTGAGAGATGAGTAACAGAGAAAGACTGTAAAAAAGATTAGAAAGATAAGTCTCACTTATCTTTTATCTCATACAAAATTTACTTCTTCTTTTTTCTTCAAATCTCACTTCAACTAAAATAACCTCCACACATGGTGTCTGGTTTATTATAATATGGCCAACAGAAAATAAGGCAAATACATCTCGGAAGGTCGTTAGTTTCTTGTAGTTGGCCAATCCATTCATTCTGAACACCAAACCCTTAAAAACTCAAACCTAACATTTCCGCACAGAAAAAGCTAAACCCATTAAAGGGAACTTGTAAACAAAAGGAAACTCCATCACCTCCTTTGGTTCTCTCTCATACACCATTCCTGAGAACGAACAAGCCACTCCTGTTCATCTTCCTGGAAAAATTAAGATCAATCTTCAATGGAAGCTTCCTTCAATGGAAGCTTCAGGCAAGATTCTCAAAAGATCCGTTCATGGCTTCCTGCAAAATTACCATTACTTCACTTCAACCTCAGCTTTTCTTGCCTTCCCTTTCTCTGCTTCAGTCCTCCTCTTGCAGGCTTCGATCTCTTCTTCTTCTGTATCTCTTCTTCCTCAGATTTATAATCGTTTGAGGATTCTCTTTGAAGCTGCAGGCTTTCCATCCTCCTCACAGTTGCTCACAATTCTCAACCTTAAGGTCTCTCAGACAATCATTTCCTCCATCTTCACCCTCCCTTTTACCCTTACCTTCTTCCTCTTTGCCAAAGCTTCTGTGATTCAAGCTCTGAATCATCATAAGCTTGCGGTTGAACCTTCGTTTTCTTCTATAGCATCTCTTTACAAGCCACTCCTCAACACCTACGTTTTGAATTCATTCTTGATTGTCTCAGCAAATGCTTCGGCTTTCTGCCTTCTGTTTTTGGCCTTTGGATTTGTTGAAGGGCTGGGATTTTCGCCTTCTCAAAGCTTCCTCCTTTTCCTTTCAGCTTCTGGGGTGGTTCTGTTTTCTGTGATCCTGGCAAATGCTCTTGTGATATGCAATATGGCGTTGGCTGTGTCAGGCTTGGAGGGACACGGAGGGTATTTAACTATTCTGAAAGCTTGTGTTTTGATAAGGGGAAGGACATCAATGGCTCTGTTCTTGGCTCTTCCTGTGAATGTGGCTTTGGCTGCCATTGAAGCTCTGTTTCAGTTCAGAATTGTGAGGGCCTATCACAATGTTGGAAAAGCAGGGCCTTTTCTGGCTTTAGAGGGGATTTTCATTGCTTATTTGTATTCTATCTTCCTTGTTCTTGATACAATTATTAGCTGCATGTTTTACAAAAGCTGCGTGACAGAGTCATGGATCGTTGATCGAGAAGACAGAGAGAAGAAGAACTTCGAGCAAATACCGTAAGGTAGCAAAATGTTGGTTCTATTCAAAGATTTTCTTCGGTCAAAGTTTCATGTAAAAGGAAGTAGGCATTATTTTAAGAAATCATAGCAAAGTATTTGTGAAGTTTTATTCATGTTGCTCAAAGGAAAAGAAGCAACTTTGGGGGCATAAAAATAGGGGAGTTGTAACACCTCACATAATTATATCAATATACGCCATAAAATATTTAATTTAAAAGTCCATACATATTTTTAATACTGCAATTAAGTCAAAATTTCAAAACATTTCTAACATAACTTAACAACATAAACTATTAAAGTCTTATAGTCATGGCAAATAAAAATATAACACAGCATGTGCTTGAGGAGCACAGAAGCCTTCACGGCTCACTCCAATGGTGCCTTCCCTTAATTCTTACTAGATCCTTCGCCTGAAAATTGTTAATATAGGGGATGAGCACAAACGTCTCAGTAACTACTGAAATTCTAACCTATACAAGCAAATCATATATGATAAACCAAAAATCTGTTTATATGTCTGTATATATGCATATATTAAAAATCACGAGTTTAAAACATTCAATTAAATTTTCCTTTTTCTCTTTTCAATATATCCAAAAATAATGCAATATGCTGCCTCCCTTATATCACCATCCACCCTTATACCGCTGACTGGAGCCATAGGCTAACACATAGTCCGATAGGAACTAATCCATTTTTACTGAATTATTCCAAGCTCACCGACACTAAAAATATATCCGGCCAAAGATATAGAGCTCAAGCTCGGACTATGGCTCCCCTCCTTTGTGAATAGGGAGGTGTCACATGTCCCACAGCTCCAATGAATTCCTGGCCAAAGGAAAACATGGAAGAAGGGGCCCTAACAAGTGTCATCCACTGTGCACCGAGTGATGGCATACCACGTGGTAATTTTATATCCATGCAATCTCCTTTTATCCTTAGCCCAACAATGCATGTCAGATGCCAACAATGTTACATTATAAATACTTCCTCACATATCTTAAAAATAAGATAGCAATAAAACTTATATACCATTTAATAGCCATTCATGATAATTTCATAGCTATTAATATATTTAAATATTGATCATAATTACTAGCAACAAATCTTAATAAAATCATGTAACATACCAAAACATTTATCTTACAAAAATCATAATATTATATTTCAGGAATATAATAATTAGTAAATTCACAATATAATCATACACAATTCACATGTACAAGAAAGAATTTTCAGAGTTACCTGGTACTCTTTAGCTTACAAATATTTACACAAAGATTACTCCAAAATTCTCAAGTCTACAAAATTGCACATAAATATTTATTAATAAAAATTCAGAAATACTCTAAAGCTACTCTAAAATTCTAAAACTACCATCTAAACCAAAATTACATAAATATATTAACTCTCCCAAATCTAGGCATTTATAATAGATATTATTTTGAAAAATAATTTACATATAAGGCTATTCAAATTTAACAAAAGTATATATATATATTTAATTATAAACAAACGGTAGCTTTATTTAATTTTACAAAATTCTCAATTTATAATTTTTCAAGCCTTCAAAAATTATTTCAACAATATATCTTTAACTTATTCAATATTTAAACCGATTAAAACCTCAATAATATATTAAATAACTCAAATAAATTATTTAACTCAAATTTAATCGGTAAAAACATATTACAAGTCTAAATAACAAATTTTTCAACTAAAATCTTAGTTTAAAATTCTCAAAGTAATCATTCCACAAAAATAAACCGATTAAAATTCCTTAATAATGGACCTTTAAATTTCTACGGTCATATATTGTCAAAACTCCATATTTACTTTATACTCAAACGGTAAAATTTTCTCTAAACATGATAATGATACTAATAATATAAAGCTATAAATATATAGGAAATATTCATAAAGAAAATATGATAACAAGAAGTAGTTTTGTGTACCTAAATGATCTCCAAAACCGTCAGGTACTCTGCAACTCGGCTCTCTCTCTCTCTCTTTCTCTATGCTTCTCTCTCTCTTCTCTCTTCTTTTGCTCTCTTCCTCTTCCGTCTGCTCCCTCCACTTGAGAATCATCTGGGGTGAATGTATTTAATAGCCCCAGGTTCAATTTTTTCCACTGCCTACGCCTTATCCTATCTCCTGCAGTCGCCCCTCCCCCCTTCTTTTTCCTTCTTCATTAATTAACCCCCCCCCAATTTTCAACTCACCGTGGAAGGGGGGTTGGCTTTTTTTTTTTTTGGTTTACTAATAAAATATTATATTTTCTTTTTTTCTTTTTTTTTTGTACGTTACAGGAATCATTAAAAAAAATGAAAAGAAAAAGAAAGAAATCCCGGGGAACAGGGGTCAGAGATTAGTTCACCATTTTGTGTCACTTTCTTATATATCTTTGTTTCATCAGTTTTGCTTTACTTTGTAAATTAGCAATCCATTACTGCAATGTGAATAACACAAACTTCAGTTAGTTTGGGCGTTAATCTAGTCTTTTGTAAAGCATATTTGGAAGATGCAATAAATACAATGTAGTCGTATAGATAAGCTTATCTTTTTAGTATTTTCATTTATTTATCTTAATAAAATTACATAAGATTTCCTGTAGAAGGCTTAAACCAGTAAAGGGAACCCTTCATTGGTGGTATTTATAATCCAAATCATTGGGACCAGAGTAAGATACATTTAAAACAGTTATTAACTGTAGACTGAAAATTAAATGGCTCACTATAAAGTGCTGGAAAAGTTGTTCAGTACAATGCTGCTCAACCAGATTTTCCTGTTTCAGACAACATTTTATACTCAAAAGAATATCAACCGTGAATTAGTCAAGTTCCCAAGTTCAGAAAATGGCAAAATAATGGAAATTTGCCCCTAAAGAATAAAGATAAGAGAGATTATTACACCTTTGATTAACACATATGGCTGAGAATATAAATGAAACTAGCATTTCTAATTGAGCCTGCTCTTCACTTACATTACAGTTACAAATTAAATACAGATTACAGTGCCTAATTTCTAAGTCCTGCTGACCTGTCTTTCTGTCTGTCACCTATACAACATCTTTATGTTGGTGTGTGTGTCCTATCTATGGAAGAAAAAGAAACTAATTTCTACGTTATACAGATAAGAGAATTGGTTTTTCTAGCGAAGAAAGATGGGTTAGAGCTTTGTACAATACAATGAATAAGAGAAATGCTCAATGCTACGAAACTTCTTTGGATGCAGCAGCAGCAGCATCTGCCTTAGCCTTCTCTTCAGCCTCTTTCTCAGCTCTTTTCTTCTCCAACTCTGCTTGTTTTATGTTCTCTTCGTGTGCTTTCCGAAACAACCGCATGAAATTCAATAGCGTCGCAGTTACTGTAATCATCAAGCAACAATTTCCCTCAAACAAATGAACTAACCAGTGGAAACTCAATGGTAAGGGGTTGGAATGCACGTAATAATGCATTCAAATGTACATCCGATAAAATTTAAATGATACAAATGGAAAAGAGAGGGAAAAACCAGAAAGAGTATTAAGATGAATGCATTTAAACATAGTATGATTTGCTCACCTTGTTCAAATGGGTAACGAGCAGGGTCCTCATTGAAATATCTTGCAAGATCATCTGCATTTTTGCCCTGTCCAGACACAAAGTACATAGACGAATACATCATTTATTTTTTCTCTGTTTCTGTGTATTATATTATGAAGCCCGGATATTTTAAAACAAAGAGAAGTATAATACTCCTCCGGTCCTTAATATAAGACCCATTTAACTAATTTGATTAGATTAAAAAAGTTACGTAAGTTAGTTAATTATAAGAAATGTGACACGTTTTTCCTAAAATACCATAATCATCTTTCTTAATATCTTCTCTTCCTCTTCTACTTAATTATGGTTGAGGGAGTATCCATAGGGGTAATTTAGAGAAAATTGATAAATATGAAAAATGAGTCTTATATTTAGGGTCAAAACTAACTCAATAATTAGGTCCTATATTAAGAACCGGAGGAGTATAATCTTATACATATTGAAACTTGCGTACCAAAGAGATGGCTAAGAATATTACCGCCACAGAATATAGAGTTGTTACAGATGCCTCCTCTAACTCAGCACCTTCAATAAATTCTCTCAGTGTCTATAAAGAACGAAAGAGCAGTGAATGCACTGAAAACTAACGAGATAAAGCAAAGAAAGCAGGGTTCCCCCCCCTTTTTTGGATAAAGGAACAGAACTTCATTCATTATATTGTTCATTCTTATGGTGATAAGTTCATGAATGAACAAGTTAACGTAAGGAGGTAAACACACGTTGCGGAAACTTTCCGATGAAGGGCCGTCGTTTTCAGATGCAGCAAGCTCCTGTTTAACTTTTCGTAATCCCTTATTAATTGACGCCATCTCTTCTGCTAATGCTTTTAATTGTATCTGTGTGCAACCAGCTCCATTTCAAATCAATAAAATGGTGAATAAATAGAGAACTACACATTCATGGACAAATCTTTCTTCCGTAAGATTTACCATATATATACATATATATATATATAAATACTCCTCCGGTCCTTAATATAATACCCATTTAACTAATTTGATTAGATTAAGGAAGTTAGGTAAGTTAGTTAATTATAAGAAAAGTGACACATTTTTCCTAAAACACCATAATCATCTTTCTTAATACCCCATCTCCCTCTTCTACTTAATTATAGTTGAGGGAGTATCCATGGGGGTAATTTAGAGAAAATTGATAAATATGAGAAATGGGTCTTATATTTGGGACCAAAATCAACTCAAGAATTAGGTCCTATATTAAAGACCGGAGGAGTATATCTTTTTAAATTTTGCATAAAGCTAAGCACAGTCAAGGATGGAACATCACCTTACTAGCAACTTCCAGGCTAACAAGGTCCAAGTGAAAATCAAGGAGTGCAGGAGACTTTTCAGCTAAGACCTGAAGCCCATATAAATCAGATAAAAAAAAAATTACAATTCTGGATTTTGAACGTCTCAACCTCATATTGAAATTCAAAACTTGGAGAGAAATTGAGAAAACCCATTTCCTTATACCTTACATAGATAATGCATTAGTGTCATCCTACCAGTAGAAGCACGAGTCTCACTGAGCTTTAAAAGACTATCCAACTTGAATCCAACAGCAGATCCTGCATTTGATACAAATATTTAATTCTTATTGTTGACCCCGGAAAATAAATTACATGCCAAGAGAAACACCAACCCCTAGCTGTTCCTTGATTCAGAGTATTCCCCAAATAAAGAATCTTCTGCATAATATTCTTCAGTTTGTCAGAGTTCCGGACCTATTACCAAGAACAGGAAGGATGAGGTAACGAACACAAAGAACAGAATTCAGTGTTACATTTTAAGTAAAGTACCTCTTCACAAGCAGAGTTCACAGTGCCTAAACTTTTCTTAAATTCTACAATCTGCATAAAGACGAAAGTATATAACACCGCACTAAAGAATATAAATCTCAGCCTGAGGGATAAAAAGAAAACATGCATATTACAGATAAAGCCAAACCTGATGATTAAACTGAATCTTGAAAGAAAAAACTCCTAATTTTGCTTCCACCCGTGGAACTTTCATGTGCTCCAAAAAATACTGAAAAAATCTAAATAAGAATATATCTCTAAAACCCAAATAGGTTGTGGGGGTAACAGGAAAAATAAGAGGAAAAATATGTAAATTTAATCACATTTATATTATGAATAATAGAGCTGACTTACAGACCTGTTCACACCTTCCCAAATTCTCATAGTCACCAGTATATCCCTAAAGAATTGAAGCCCGGACAAATTGGGATTACAAAAACGAGAATCCTCAATTAATTGCAAAAGAAAAACGTAAGAAGAAGATGGAGCTTTATTAAGCCTTACCTTCAAAAGTTCCATCTCCTCTTTAGTGGGACAGTACTTACCAAGACTTTCAACCTGATCAACATCTAATACTGTATCATCCAAAGTTAGAATTGCAGCCTGGGAGTATACATTTTGACACATTAGACAATATTTAAATTAAATATTAGGGATCGAGAATTCTGAAATTTGCATGAGTTTGTACAGATAAAAAAGATTACGGCAAGAATCGTCCATGATACTAATTGAAAATGACTATATCCATCGTAATAATGCTTCTTGTAATAGAATATTGCCGCTCATATAAATTTCATTTAACTTGCGTAATCCAAACCCAAATTGCATGAGCATCACTTATAAAATTTACTCATAAGAATCAAGACATTTGGAAGCATCTGCTTACCATCATTTCAGAAAGTGGCATCTTAATCTTTGTGAGCATAATTTCAACATTATTGGCCCTCTTCAGTTCAATCTATAATTAAAAAAAAACACTAATTAAAGCCCGGATATTGAGGAAGTAGCATAGAGAAAATTAACTCAAGCAATTCTGGATGAGTGTGGGTATTAAACATGACATCCAAAAAGCGACAATAAATCCTCCAACTATTCAAACAATTACTTCTAACATACATAGGTGTATTTCAACATCAAATTCAAGAATATTGGTATGGGAGAATACCAAGTGGACTTTGTCAGATTTGGATCCAACTGATTTACAACGTCCTACAGATTTATCAGCAGTTTTTGGAACAACTGCTGAGAAAAGGGTCTCTATCTCTGAAACATCAAATTCTGGTGCACTAAATCAAAATATGACACCAGTAATTACAAATGGGAAGGATGTTAATATTAGAAATGAAAATTTATAATCATATTAGATTGAAATGATTCAAATGAACATGTACAATGAAAATTAAATAAATTACACTTGGGCCTGCCCACGTTTTTGTAATTCTTCCCATAAACTTCCTTGCAATGCCTTTGACACTTTACCCCAATATAGAGGTTTTAAAGATGATCGTCGAGCAGTTGATCCAGAAAGGCGTGAAAGACCACGCCCTCTCCCACTTGGACCAGCTCCAGGCGGTGGAGGTGCACCTCCTGGCAATCCAGGAGGAGTAGGTGCACTAGGAGCCTGTGCTCCAGGAGGCGGAGGTGGAGGTGGGCCTTGTCCACTATTAGGAAGCGGAGGTGGAGGAGGGCCTTTCCCACTTAATAGAGGCGGAGGCAGAGGCAGACTTGGTCCACTCAAAGGAGGCGGAGGAGGAGGAGGGCCTGGTCCGCTTGGAGGAGGTAGGGGTGGAGGAGGGCATTGTCCGCCTGGAGGAGGTGGGGGTGGAGGAGGTAGGGGAAGGCTTGGTTTAACTACAGGAGGTAGACGTGGAGGACAATCTTTTTCACTTAGAAAAAGAGGAGGTGGAGGAGGGCCCTTTTCACTTAAAGGAGGGGGCGGGGGAGGGGGAGGTGGAGGAGGGCTTTGTTTACTTAGAGGAGAAGGAGGCGTAGATATAGGAAGGACTTGTTCACTGAGAGGAGGTGGAAGGGGAGGAGGGCCTTCTTTGGTAGAAGGAAGTAGAGGCGGATGAAGGCTTTTTTTATTGGGAGGAGGTGTAGATGGACCTTGTTTACTAGAAAGAGGAAAAAGTGGAGGTAAGCCTTGTCTAGTAGAATGAGATGGGGGTGCAGGCGCAAGTAAGGTTTTAATATGAGAAGGAGGTGGAGATGGCAGTGGATCTTCAACAATAGGAAGAAGTGAAGACTGAGGTGGAGGTGGAGGTGGAGGTGGAGGTGGAGGTGGAGGTGGAGGTGAGTCTCTTAGAGGAGGGAAGTTAGGTTGAGCTAAAATGGGGTGTGTTTGTGGTGGGATGACTTCACATGAAGGTGATAATGATAGAGATAATGTTCTACTCAGTAAAGGCAGTGGTGGTGGTGGTGGTGGTGGAGGTGATGTTTTATCAAGTGATAAAGGTAGGGGAGGTAAAACTCCAAGCATTGGTGGTGGTTGTAATTGAGGGGCTCCATATGGGGTAGATAAAGGGGATGTGGCTTCTAATAAGGTTGTTTGTGAAGATGATGATGAAGCATTATCGAACTGACATGGAATTGGAGAAGAAAAAGCTTTATAAGAGGTCAAACAAGTTAGAACATCACTTGAAAGATGTAAAGGCGAGGTTGATAAAAGGGGTGGTAAATTATCTCTTAAAGGAGGCAGAGACAAAGGCTTAGGTAATGGTAAGGAACCATTGCTTAAAGTAGGTAAAGGTGAGGTTGGAAAAGTTATTAGAGGAGATAGAGGTTGAGGTAATGATGGAGTATTACTTGAAGAAGGTGGAGGTGAAGATGGTAGTGCAACATTACTAACATGATATGGAGGTAGAGACGAAAAAGCTTTATAAGAGGCTAAATGAGGTAGAACATCACTTGAAGAAGGTGAAGATAGGGTTAATAAGGAAGGTGGTAAGCCATCACTTGGAGGCAAAGGCAAAGGCTCAAGTAGTGGTGATAGAACATTGCTTAAAGGAGGTAAAGGTGAGGTTGGCAAGGGTATAGAAGGGGATAAAGGTTGAGATAGTGATGAAGCATTACTTGAAGCAGGTGGAGGTGAAGATGGTGATAGAGCATCACTAACATGACGTGAAGGTAGAGGTGAAAAAGCTTTATAAGAGGCCAAACGAGGTAGAACATCACTTGAAGGAGATAGAGGCGAGGTTGATGAAACGGGTGGTAAAGTATCACTTGAAGGAAGGGGAAACAAAGGCTCAGGTGGTGGTGACAAGACATTGCTCGAAGGAGGTAAAGGTGAGGTTGGCAAAGTTATTGAAGGAGATGAAGGTTGAGGTGGTGATGGAGCATTACTTGAAGTGGGTGGAGGTGAAGATGGTAATGGAACATTACTAACATGACATGAAGGTGGAGCTGAAAAGGCTTTGTACGAAGCCAAACGAGGCAGAACATCACTTGAAGGAGGTGAAGATGAGGTTGACAGAAGGGGTGATAAAGCATCACTTAAAGAAGATGGAGGCAGAGGCTCAGAGAGTAATGATAGAACATTGCTTGAAGGTGGTAAATGTGAGGTTGGCAAAGGTATTGAAGGACATGAAGGCTGAGATGGTAATGGAGCAGTACTAACATGATGTATAGATGGAGATGAAAAAACTTGTACTGCTGAAAGTTTTGATAATAATGCTTCACTTTCGAGGGTGGTTAGTAGGGCATCACTAGTCTTTCCGTCAACAACAATTGATGAATAAACAGCCTCTTGTAGAGGTGGAGAAAGTATGGAACCCCTTTTAATTTGCCTCGTAAATGACGGTAAAGAAGGAGGTGGAGGTGGAGAAAGAGAAGTTACATGTGATATATCCATCTTAATGTTTTGTATAGCAGGAGGAAGCGGTTGAATAGATACATTTCCAAACAAAGAGGAAGATGGCAATAATAAGGTGGATGGAGGGGGTGTATCCTCTTGTAATGGTGAGGATTCAAAAACCTGTAAAGAAGAGTTTATAACATGAAATGAAGGTGGAGGTGGAGGCAGGGGAGGAGAAATTGCTGGACCTTGGTTTGAGTTCAATTCCAATGCTTGAGTTGCTAATCGAAGATATGTCTCTTCAATTGATGGTAACAATAATGGTGAGCATTCTGTGTCTATTTCTGCTAGACGGTCTGAAGATCTCGAAGTGGTTAGCTTGTGAATCTTTAATTTGTTTGATGAAGAGCGATTTATGCAGTCTAAAGATCTTTGCTTCCGAATTTTCTGTTTATTTTTCATGTTGGCATCTGCTCCTTTCTCCTTTCGAGAGTTGGAATTTGCAAGAGCAATATTAAGTCTTGGATACAAGACGTGCATTGAATTTGTATAATTAGTTTTGCTGGAGGGAATCCACCTAGTTATTGCATTTGGTTTCGCTAGTTTTGCCTGTCCACCCTGTTGTTCTTGTAATTTCTTTTGCTTTGCTGCAAATGCACTTCCAGATAGCTTTGAGTTCGGTGATAGTTGTTTTCTTGCAACAGGTGGAAGTGACTTATCAGCTTTTTGCCTGGAAAGATCAGATTTCTGTTGCTGCCTTGGAATCTGATTTCATTTCTATTGCTTGGCTATCTTCCTCATGTTTGTTTCCTATATCTGCATACTGTCGATGCAAATCCATAGTGACTTCCTTCGCTTCACCATTGTGCATTATATCAGTAGAATTTACCATAGAAGTTAGTTTAATTTCCCCATCATCCACAACAATATCTTTCACAGCATGAGGATTCGAATCTAAGCTCCCATCAACTTTGCACCTCACATCATCAACAACAATATCTTTCACTGCTTGAATAACAGAATCTGTCCTTCCATCTTGTTTATGAATCCCATCATTTGATGCGCAATCCTGAAAAGTATGAGGATCCGTGTTCTCTTTCCATACTGTTTTATGATTCCTACCATCCACTGCATTTTCATGAACCCCAGGAGAATCATATTCCCCTTTACCCTCCCGCATATCAACTACATTGCTAAAGATCTCTTCCACCTCATAGAATTCCTCAGGTGAAGCATACCCTGCCTCGTTTGGATCTTCAGCATCATCAGTTGTGGCTATATCAGGTATTACAGCATCATCGTCCAAAAAAAGTACCTAGCATAGATATTTTATTGCGTTTGTTTAGTTTGTAAAATAACAAGAAGAAGTAGGAGGAGAAGGAAGTAGTTACCTCTGCTTTAAAGTCCTTAGGGAAATTGTCCTTTGCTTCCCACAAAATATCAAGTTCTTCACGATTGAGCATCAAAATATTTGACCGTACAAATGCAGTATGAAACATAACTCTAAACATGATCTCCTCATGAATGAGATCATCATACAAATGTAGGCACTCAAGAACAATATCCCCTTGAACGCGACAACGGATGTCTAATTTCACGAGCATACATTCTGCCTGCACTTCAAAATATCTTAAGAGAAATCTATCAATATATAGTTAAATTCACATTGTATCAGTATCAAATAAAATGATGTAGGATTATACATCACCTGTTGGTAATGACGAGCAAATTTCTTGGTCTTTAAATTATTTGGAAAGAGAAGCTTAGAACTATTTGCATTGGAAGGTGTTGAAGAAGGATCCTGGCCATAAACACGTACAAGAGGGCGACAACCTTTTCCATCGTCAAATAAGGGAAGGTCTCTGAGAATTAGACAGTCCAAATGCAAGGGCGTGTCTGATGGAGGCCACCTAAGACCCAAATTTCTCTTGGAAATGTACTGGAGATATCTCAACTGAGAAGGTTGTGGGTTTATAGGGGATAATAAGTAAAGAAGCTCTCTTGGAGCTTGCTTGTACACCATTTCAAGAGTCTTCTGCTCACCATTGTATTGTTTTCTGTACAATAGAAGACTTGCTAGCATAAATGCAAGAACCTGCCAGCCTCCCCTTTCACAATGCATCAAAAGCACATTTCTTTGCCCCACCACAGACAACCAGCTCTCACTTGATCGAAGGAAGTGATGAATGACCTCAAATGGCAAAAGTGGACAACCCTCAAATTCCTGAGGGTATTCCATCACAGTCATGCCATAGTCTGTTAGTATGTCTGAAATCTTGGTGCTCTTATTTCCTTCTTTAAAGTTAAACACAGTGAAGGAAGCATCTGGAAAGTGATCTTGTAGCTGAGCCACAATTCCCCCCATATAATCTTTATACTCATCTTCTTCCAACACATCCGTTGAGAAGCAGCAATCAAAAACTGCAAAAAGTCAAATATACTGTTAAAATAGGTGTATACATATAACACTACTTACTAAGTTAACCCATACACTATGCTGAAAAGTAACAACACAGAGATTCACCCTCAACTCAACGAGAACAACAAAATCAATGCTAAATCTAAATTAAATACTTGCGTAACCAAGCTTGAAGCAGCACAAACACAACTAGAGGGCAATTAAATGCCCACAAGTCAATCCATCACCAAATGTTAGTGCCCAAAACATGAAACATCCAATAAACTTGCAGTCTCGTAAACTTCAGGTAAAAGGAGGAAAATATGGGAAAAGCAATAACAACTCAAATATTGCTTCCTATCTTCTAGTTGGCAATTCATTTATGAAAATTTCTTGGGTTCAGGACACTGCAAATACATGGAATAGTTAGAACTGTAGCACATATGCGTGGGGTGAAAACACAGTTCTAACCATAAAATGTATTTCCACCGAGTGCTAAACATTCAAAGAGCTACAAGTTGAGAAGTCTCGTAGCTTCATACAAAAGGGAGAATTTTTCAAAAAGCAATAGCTTATTGCTTCCTCATTTGAAGTTGGTTATTCATTTATATGCTTTGAAAAAATTGAATTAGTAAATGTTAGGAAAAAGTAACGAAACAGGGGGGGGGGGGGAAGGAACGTAAGCATACCATAGACTCTATCAGAGATCTCCAAAAGTCGATCTGGGGGCTTCCGGTAAAAGAATCTTCTGAACAGCGCCATTAGATGGCGCTGTTTCTACCCCAATCGAATCCACACCGATAATTCAGTTGACCACCAATATCAAAGTTTTTGTATATTGAATAATTCGAACAAATTGGATCATGCGATTGCCAAATTTGATCACAGACCAATACAATCCAGCTGAACCCAGAAATCATCAAGGGAAAAAACAAAAGAAGAAAAAATGAGATTCAAGAAGGGCAAGCTATCTAGTTGGCAATCCAACGGAAAGATGAAAATGAAGATTAAAAGAAAAATTAAGATGAAAACAAAAAGTAAAAGCAATTGAATTCCAAAAATGGAAACAGGAAGATACGAAGAATGAGGAATTGAAGTGAAGTAAGAGTATCGGTACGAAAAAGAAGAAAAGGGATTAGCTAGGAACAAACAATTAATGTTCGAGGAAGAGAATGAAAATGAATTGAAATGGGATGTGGATTTGGCATGAGAGAGAGAGAGAGAGAGAGAGAGAGAGAGAGAAAGAAGCGCAATGGACTGGAAAGGAGAATACTCAATAAAGCTGAACCTGACTCTCTCTCTGTATCTCAAGCTCTGTCGATGTCGCTTTTCCTCTGCAACGATGATCAATTTTGTGCCGGCGAGGCGAACGGGGGACGGAGGCACAGACCTACGTGATTCCCTACGTGTCCAACACCATGCAAAAATTCCTTTTTTATATAAATAAATTATATTTTTCGCACAAACAATAAAATTCATTAATATTCGTATAAATATATCATGTAGTTACTCATTACATTTTATACTAATAATTATAAATAATTTTCTATTTAAATTTCATTGCGTTTTGAATTTCATGAGGCAAGTAATTATATTTTTACAAAATAGATTAAAAAATGATGTAAAGCAATTAATTATAACAAATTTGACCTCATATCTCTAAAATACCTCATCAAAAATTATTTGATTATATATCAGTTTGAGTCAGATAAATTATTTTTTAAAATATGAAAAATATAAGAGACAAAATATATTAAAATCATATATTTAAGACAAATCTAACCCCATAACCTTTTCCCATATTGAGAACATAAATAAGGTAAGAAATTACATTTTAAAGGCTGATAAACTAGACTATATTTTATGTTATTTTTTAATAAGATTGACATGAATATGCCATGTTCTTGATAAAAGTTAATATTTTGGGATAAATTGATTTAATACGTAAGAGCAAGGCTAAAAAAACAAACGTGAATATATGTCACGTGCGAAATGTTTGGCAGCATGTAAAAACTAAAATCTACCAGATATTTAAGGGTCAAAAAATTCAAATAAAAACCCCGCAAATACTGAATTGGACATCTACTCTTATGGTCATCCAACTTTTAAATATAAAATCGATCTATTTATAAACTAAAACTTCATTCAAACTCCGAGGCACAGATTCTACATGCAAATTGCAAATCTCATAATTATTTGAAAAAACTCATAATTGGGAAGCAACATAATAAGAGTTAAAAACTGATTGTAGTAACTTTGAAGGTTTCTTATGCTTCTATAAGGTCTATATAGTATTTTATTTTATTTTTTACCAAAAGTTCTATATACGACCTCTTGTTTTAAATATAAGAATTAATGGACTGATTTAAATAAATTTTAAAAAATTAATTAAATTAGTTATTTATAATAAATGTGTTATGTTCCCTAAAATACTTACTAATCATGTATATTAGTTAAAATTATCATTTGATGAAATCTTTAATATGTACAACTACTACAATGAGCACTTTGAGAAAAGTAGATAAATATAAAAGGCAAAATAGATTGAAATCTTATATTTAAAACTAAATTAAATATCAAACTAACTTTTATATTAAAAACCAGAGGGCATTAGTAATTGACACGCGAGACCACTAGAGTATTTTCAAACCTTGCCAAAAATGAGGTCTTCTTGGCCTTTTAAATAATTTAGATCAAATTCTTAAGATCCATAGACTCTGCAAGCTTTTGGTCGTTGAATATAATTTTCTCAGCCCAAAAAGCTAAAACAGTACAGTGGCAAATTGAAGAAGACTTTGACCGTCCTCAAGCCAATTACCACGCACTAATATATATACACCAACTGATAAGGACCTGAAGAAGATGGCAAAGACCTGAAGAACATAGGGACTTATAAACATCATACAGAAATGAATTTGTCTATAATCGATCAAAAATAGGAACCCATGGCTAAAAAAACCTATCAATTCTTCATTTGCCTGGCCCTCATACCAGACCTCTATCAGCTGAAGTCTGAATGAGTTATGTTCCTAAAAAAAATTTCAATTTCCCAGCTCCCAGGTCACAAAATATTCCGCTGGATGCTGTCAATTTGATTCTTCCCCCATAGTTATATCTGTTTCTAAAAGCAGTAATGCTTGGAGAAGTCGTCTTGTTTCATGATCATCTTGATCTGATGCTCAAGTTCAACTCCAACTTCAACTTTTGCTGATCCATAACTTGAAGCGATTAGTCTTCCAAATTCTTCTCATGCTTCTTACCTGCAATAGAAAATTAAGAACTCTTTAATGATTCCACTTGGCCTAGGCTCTCATTCTCCTAAATATCATCTCTTCAAAACTAAGGAACCACATGAAAGATGGACCGATTGCTTCTTTTAGTGCCTATTACCTTTCTGAAACCAAGATCTTCGTACTGTACGGCGGATGTGACGCTCGTGTCTTTCTAACAGCTCATCAACCGCATGCATTTGAGATAGCAGGGGTCCTGAAAATTCTACCTTCTCTCCAGAATCCTGATAAAATAATTGTACACGATAAGGATTGGAATCAGAGGCAAGTGAAGTCATGTAAACAAGCTTGAAAATCAAACTAACCATTTTACTTCTCCTGGATGCTGAATATTCCCTGTGATAAAGGGCTATGGATAGTTCTTGTGAGTGGTATTCATCAGAAGCATCAAATGAGTCTGGGCGATCAAACTTGCCCCATTGGTTCAACATTGCAATCTTAGAGATTTCACGTATGTCATGGCCCCTTGAGTTGGAACGTCCCCCGCAGAATTCCTTATTTTCCTGGTTTCTGGAGTCAAGGTTGTTTCTTGAATGTACGGAAGAATGTTCTGATGAATTCAAAATATGTCCCCTTGAAATAGATCGACAATGAGACCTTCTTGAAGCATCATCTTTACGCCTCTTTGCCCATGCAAAGCCACTTGAAGTTGAAACTTGTAATATGGGAATATCTCCATGAGACGGATTTTTAACATGGGAAGCATCTTCTCTATCAGTTGATGGCTTTGGCACTTCCTCACTTATATTGGTGTTCTCTTTTAGGATGCAGGAAGTTCTACGATTGAACGCTTGGGAATTTCGAGCTTGATTAACCAAACTCTGTAAGAAGAGATTAATCTACTAAGTGAGAATGCAGATGATATCAAACACAATGAAGCAAGAAGTAAAGCAGAATAGACCTCAGCTGGGGCTAGTTTACTGAATCCTTGTGGCTTTCTTGATGGTTTTCTTGTTTCAGGTCCCCGAGATCTTCCACCAATCTTTTTTCTGAAAGTTCACCACAATATGCTCTCATTAAAAGATCACACGTATGTAGTCCTAATGAAACAGAAATTATAGAAACTGAGATTTTGACTATTTTATCCAATTCTGTCAAAAGTCTTCACTGCAACTTTGCAAATTCGCATATTTCAAATAGAACAAGCCCCTTTCCCAAGTCAAAATGAAACTTAAGAATATGTTAGTCTTCTTTGGAACAGGAATTAGTCCCCTGATACGTTCATGTGATTTTGACAAGTACAAGCATGTATCTGTTTTCTGAAAGTTCGGCACAATATGCTTTCATTAAGAGATCATACAAAAATACAATACACTGAAGACAGGAAATCTCACCTTCTTGACTCCTCCCAGTGTTTTGCATCAATCTCCTTGCTAGGTGAGTATACCGGCAAGCTTGACGGGTCACATGCATAAGGCTTTGTCTTGAAATACTGAAAGTGGTAATGCAACAGAAGATTAGGAGTCTGAACTCATATTTCCAGGATTCAAATAGTCATAAAATGTGCATATGTATGATGGACGAATTAGTACAATGGATATTAAAACTCGTAGCTAAAAAAGTGTCGGCGAATTTAAATTGGAAAAGGAAAAGAAGGTGCTGTGCGTCAATCTTCATGCAGATTGAACAGCTCCTATTAATTAGTGGGGACGAAAACACCTTTCAAGAATGTCCAACAACTTGCATTTAACAGTGATGTATTGATATACCTCTGATAAAAGAGCAGATGAAGCAGTTCCGCGCTTGTATGATTCAATGGAGAGAAGAGTTTGAAGAAGATTCACAGTAGTTATGGGAAAATCTTTAAATGTCTCTTGGAGGCAACTATTGTATGTTTGCTGCGGCCTAAACAAAGTTGCATGAGGAAGCTTGGTCTTTTTCCAGTATTCATCAGGTGGGGAGCCACAAAGTTTGAAAATTTTGTGCAATTGTTCCACCTGCATCCATAGCAAATACGAATCTAAACAAGTTTTCAGATAAAGGCTAAAGCAGAATGTGAGAAAAGCCATTTGTAATTGATCCCCTTAACCATAAACACTAACACCCACATGAGCTTGAAGAAGATTGAATCAGTAGCCTTGAATATACAACCGAGCACGCCATTCTTTATGTTCTAAAGTTTCATTCCATGTTCTATCATATCCCACGTCATTACATGAGATTGGAAACAACTTATCAGCAACTGAATAATCAAGCATCAAAATGAAATGGTCCTATCGCATTAAAACTTCAAGCTATAGATGAAGAGATTGAAATATCTATGGACAGCATTCTCTGAGGGATTTTAACCCTATAATTTATGCAGGAAACAAAACTAAAAGTTTTCAGTATGTTGCTACCTCTGTTCTCCCCTGAAGAACTGGCTTTCTGAAAAGAAGTTCTGCAAATACGCAGCCAACACTCCATAGATCTACAGAGGGACCATAATCTGTCGAACCCAGCAAAAGTTCAGGAGGACGGTACCACAAAGTGACAACACGGCTGGTCAGGGGCTGTTTGTTCCCAGAAACAGAGAATTTTGCCAATCCAAAATCAGCAACCTTTAGTATCCCTTCATTGTTCACTAGAAGATTTGATCCTTTGATGTCTCGATGCATTACACCACGTGAATGACAATGATCAAGTCCAGACAACAGCTGTTTCATGTAACATTTAATCTGCGCAAACAAAATAACCACCTCCATTATTTCCCCCAAGAGAAAAATATTACCAACAAAAATAAGCACGTCCATTAAATAAAGGATTGCATAAGAACAATCTTATTCCTTTTTGTTTTGTGATGTTCGAGAGTCTCAAATAGTTTTCACATTGGAGAAGTGAGCATACCTGTGATTCGCTAAATTTGATATCAGGGCTGGACAAGAGCCCTGTGATGTCATGTTCCATGTACTCGAACACAAGGTATATGCTAGATGACAATTTGGAAGTAATCAAACCCTCCAATTTAATGATGTTTGGATGATCAAGCCTTCTCAGGATCATTATTTCTCGTGCCATAAACCGCACACTCTCTGGCTCAAAAATGTCAAACCGCACCTTCTTCAGTGCTACTATCTTCCCTGTCTCAAGTTCCTTCGCTCGGAACACACTACTGTACGTACCCTGCCCAATCTATTCATGCAGTTTGCATATAAAAACTATCAGAATCAGATATTTATACCCAACTTAGATTAGAATTCCAATCAGTACAACATCAAAATACTATTTACTAACGAAGAGTTCATATATTCATATTTCGTGTTTGCACAAGGCAATAGTTGCTTGTGGAAATGTGGCAGAGAAAATGTTCCCTTTGATGCCAGAAACTGAAACAGAAAAGCCAATAACCACAATGGTTGAAATCAGGAATCTATCTACTTCACAAGAGCTTCCCATCTTAACCATGAAATAGCAGAGACTATAGCAGCGAATGAGAAGAACAAAAAAGGAAAATATTGTTAAGGAAAGCTGGCTACGTTTGATCCTTGGAGATTATCAAGTACAGAAACTTGAAGATACAGTTTCAGCAATGAAGTTCAGATTCTTAAATAATAGAACCATTTCATTACCCGTAAGCATCCACCACGCAGAACACTTCAAATTATATAGGGACGCTCCGTAATAGCATTGTGTTCAGTGTGTATATGTGCTTAATAATTTTTCAATTCATAATGCAAGTTTCAGAAGCAGGACATGCATGGACCTTCTCGAGCTTCTCAAACGCATCGGCTCGGAGGGGCACCCAACCGTGGATGGCTTCGCTGGCGACGGCAGTAAGCCACGCCGGCCAACCGGCGGCGATTTGCTCTCCTTCCACGTACTTCTGCAGATTCCCCAATCTGAAGCTCAAAGATTCATCACATCCCCAAGTTGAACTCTCTCTCTCAGACTCGCCCAGTGACTCACTCTTTTTCTTCTTTTTTTTACCATCGAACTCTCCCAAGCTCCTTCCCGAATGCCCCAAACTCGCATTGCCTCGAAACAGATCGGAGTGATCGATCGCCGGCGTCACCGACACCGTCTGCCTCGAGTAGACACAACCCATCACAGATACTTCATTTGGAAATCACAGTGCAAGAAAAAGAGACAATGAGGAAATGGAGATTTATATAATAAAACCATCATTTCTTTCTTTCTTTCTTTCGCTTTCTCAACTTCCCTTTCACTCCAATGCGGCAATTGCGGTAGATTGTTGAGGTGGGATATTAATGAGTCTCACAAAAACATAACAGCGAAATCAGCGGAAAGATAATAACGTGATTTTGATTCTTCGCCACCTTTAATCTCTCTGCTTTTACTTTGTAAAATGCATAGCACGCCATTGCTATATGCTACGAAGGGAAACTGCATGGGAATGGGATTAGCCTACGGCACGTGAAGTGGTATGACATAATCAGTATTTGCTTCCTCAATGTGAGTGGTTTCTACATGTACAAATGATAATAACATGTTGCTCCAAAATTATAAGAACTCCAATAATGTTTAGAGATATTTGATAGACAAGACGAGATTTAATCGAAAGTTTTGATTTTTAAGATCCTCTTTTATCCCCATCAATGAATCTGAAAAGCTTCTGAGAGATACGTACTAAAATTCAAAGCCCTTGTCGTATTAAAAATTATGACTAGTTGAAGGGAAACTATTGGGTTTGACTTTGATCCGAGTTTTGGCATGATTAACCTGCTTCCCGATTTTCTCCCCTTTCCCCACGTTCGGTTTTAATTGAGAAATTTCTTGATCACGTTTGTTCAACTAATAATCTAATTATTTATTTTTTAATAATCTAATTATTTATTTTTAAAATATTGAGTCTCTGAATCTAAAAGTTAAAGATGCTTCTGTGGAGTTCATAGAGAAATGGGAAAGGGAAAAGGGAGAGGGAGAAATAGACAAGAAAAGAAAAAGAGGCAAAGAAACAAAAACAAGAGAAGGGTTACAGACATTAGTCTTTTGAAAGTTGCATCCTTTTGTGATTATGTCATGCTAGTGTTTCCACTTTACAGTTTCAACCCCTGACATTCTTACTTTACTTTGGGGACTAGAATGGCCCACTCAGGATTATTTGGTTTAATTTGGGTTGGGAGAGGTGAAAATAACAAGATTCTACCTCCACTTATAATTATAAGAGCTAGTTAATTAATTTGAAAAGATTAAAAAATAAGTTAAATTAGTTATTTGTAATAAAGATATTGTTTTTTTAAAATATTCTTGCTAATTAAGTTTATTGGCTAAACTACTATTATTAGAAAGATTATCTTAAGAAAAAATACATAAATATAATAGACAAAATAAATTAGGGTCTTATAATTAGAATCAAAATAAAAACTAAACAAATTTTTATATTAAAAGCTGAAAGTAGTATGTGGATGGGATGTGGATTATTAAACACATTTTGCAAGGTTGAGTTGACTGGCTCTTTGAGTTTTCTCTTTCGTAAAGAGGACGCTTTGGGACGGTGATGTTGCGGAGAATAGTGAGTGGGTCTTAAAAAGAAAGGCGTGGTAATTAAGCTTCGCCCTCACTCTACTCATATTATCCAACTTTTGCCCCCATTTATTTCTCTCCCATTACCACTATGAAATTGCCACTAACCATTAAGTCGGTTAAATTCCAACATCTGATCACACCATTATGGCAGAAATTAAACTCAACCAATGCTTGTATAGAAATTTAGCAATGATGAAACACCTTGTATTATAAATATACATCGGAATATTTTAGAAAGATTAAATCAAATCTGTTACAATTAATTAATTATCTTACTTCCTTATAGCTTTCCATAAGGATAGGAGCGAATATAATAAATTAGAGTAAGTTTTATTGTATTATACACCATTTAACAGAATAGATCTCCACAAGTTTTGTCAGGCTAGAAAAATTAAGATAAGGATAAAGATAACCACTTAAGTATAGTTTAGTGGTTATTCCATTTGGTCTCTTAACTAAGTGATGGGATTTCAAGTCCCACCCTGGACATGAAAAGCATCCAATAGCCAGCCGTTTACTTTTAAGTGGAGGCCTCATGGCAAGAACTTTGATTACTGTTACCGGTGCTAGATACCTTGATGTATAATTAAAAAAAAATAGATAAGGATAAAGATAAAAATAATTTAAAATTGAGGTTTTGATAAAATGTGAGTGGGAGATTTCCACCTCCGATTCCACCAAAGAGAAGCCATAATTGCTGCTTCTCAGATCTAACCATGGCATGTCTGAGACCATGAGGGCACTCGATTGTAATCATGATATCAACATCACTTACTTCATTTAAATAATAATAATAATAATAAATTCATAACATCTTGGCTAGTGATTTGGTGATGGTATTATATTTTAGAGTATTAATATTTCTGAGTACGACATTTTTTAATCATCCTTATAATATTTTTTTGTTCTTCAGTTATTTACCACTTTCATATATTTTAATCAAAGTCCTTATAATTTTTTTTCTTTTATAGTCCTTATTGTTTTTTTGTTTTTAATTAGGTCCTTGTAGTTTTTATTTTTTATTTTACAAATAATAAAATTTTAAAAATATAAATTATTGTAACAATCTTATATTAATATTCTTTTAAATTTTTAGTTAAACAAATATATATTTATTTTCAATTCAAATTTTTATAATTATAGAATTCAATTTAATAATAAATTTTTCTACAAAAATATGATATAAATAATTTATATTTAGTATAATTATTATTCTGATTATTATTAATTACTAAATGATTATATTAATTATTTTTTCCAATTAAAAATTATTAATTTAAAATGAAATTAATTTAAAGAATAAAGTTAATAAATAATTTTTCAAAAACTATGAAGCACCTAATTAAAAAATAAGTGAAACTATAAGGACCTGATAAAAGAAAAAAAAATAGAAGGACCTAATTAAAACACACGAAAGTAAAAGGATCTGATAAAAGAAAAATTTTATAAGGACCCAATTAAAAAATCAGATGAAACTATAAGGACTTGGAGATTAATTATCCCTTATTTTTGAGAGTATTATATTCTGAGTACGACATTATAATCATCCCATCACAAATAATATTTTATTTGTTCCAAATTCAATGGTTATTTACTACTCTGGTCTTATTTCTAAAATAAAGAGATAAGATCATCTTTTTGTCATATTTATGGGTATTAAGAGAATTTTTTTTGTATAAATGTATAATTTTACAATTTATTTATTATTGTGTTGACTTTGTTTACATGAGGTATAGTATATATTAAATACAGATAAAGTCAAAAAGTTTTGAATTTCAAATGAGAGTTAACAAAATTTAAGATTTTTTCTCTTTCACCAAAAAAAAAAAATTTGTTCTTGGTCTGTGCAAAATATGTTAAAAGTGACTTATAAATAGGACCAGATGAGTATTAATTATTTCTGACAAAAGCACAATATATAATTAACGAAGGGTTTAATATTATATTTTTTTAAAAAAACTGCACCAGTTGAGGAATGGGTTTGATTTCTTTTCTGCTACTTTTACCAAGACTGCAGATTTGTATTGTACAAATTAGATAAGACGCTTCAGATTTCAGTTTTGTTATAGTTTTGCTTTTGGTTTTCAAAAATTAAATTAGAAAATTTATAATAACCGTAATGCTATTTGAACAGGAGCAGGAAATTAATTAGCGGCAGGGAAGGCAAGAAGCAAAAGTTGGTGAGAGGTTCAAAGGTTGTTCAATGTTAGTGATAATGTCAGTTTGGTCCAGCAGCTTCAATAGATACGAAGCGATGAAAGATAGTATTGCTTCATAACTCGAAAACATTAATTGGCCTGTTTATAAATATAAAATTAGCGTTTTTATTGTTAAGCTAAGAGTCAAATTGCAACCTGAGGGGCTGAATGTTCATGCCAACAATTCTTGATGATCCAGAATCAACAAAACAAAGAGCCAAGAGAGATCAACAATTGGCCAGAATCAGTCATTTACAAAGGCTTACTTGAAATAGCTCGAAAGAAGCTTTTCAATAGCGATTTGTGCCAATAAGCATATAACATAATTTTATCTTGATTTACATGAAATTATATATAAGTCCTTATACACCACAGATGCAACAAGCCTTGTGTGATTTGGGTCCATTATGGCAGCTTAGCTTTCACTGTGCTTTCATCCCAGGCCATGCCATTTAGAGAATGGTGCTGGCAACCTCAAAAAAGGCTACAGAGACAAATTCTGTACGATATAAGAATAATGCTGCAGCCATGCATCTTGCGGCAAAACGTGGTACCAAACCAAAGGCCCTGAGCTCCATCTCGTATTTTGAGCTCCAAAAGCTACCAAGTACTCAAAAAGGAGCAGTAATACCATATTTATGATGTTAAAAGATACTACCTCCGATCCTAATTATAAACCCCTTCCACTAGACTCAACTCTCGTTGGTTAAATTTAAGTATCAATTTGCTCTTGCATAGCTTGTATAAGCCGCGGCTTCAAGAAGCAATTGGGGGGTCGGCCACGGAGATGCAAGTTCAAACTTTTCGGCCGCATACCCACTTAGCTGCATAAATCAAAATTCAAGCACACATTGGTTTAAACTGGCAGGTTCTTTCTTCACTTGTTCTCTTCTGCACCCTCATCTTCTTTCAAGCGATTCTAATGCAGAGAGTATGTTTACGAGAGCCAAGACAAAGAATGAGTATATATTAATTTTTTTCTTCATTTTTGATCGCAAACTTTTTTATTAAAAAACAAAATGGAGTTTCAGCGGAAACTTCTGTTCAACTGGATTCAGGTTGAGCTTCCCAGTTCCTCAGCTCTTCTGCATGGATGTCTTTAACGCAAAAGTTGCAACTTCATGAAAGCCAAATGAGCGCTACTAGCCAGCAAACAGCAACCTCAGCGATATCAAGCTATCAAATAAAAATGTTCATATGCATCTCCACCAAGGGACAGGATGCCTCGGATAGAAATTCCGACCGTCATTAATCTACATTTTTTTTCATGATATTGACTCTCAATTTATGGTCACTTTTGCTATTTACAAGGACATTACTACCATTCCCCCCACATAAAATTATTAATAGACAAATCAATGCGGCTATAAAATATATCACCCACGTTTTAGTCGTAGACAAAAGATCGAATTCTGTAACCAGGTTTAGAACACCCATC